CTGCTGGTGACACAGCCCAGGACATGGGGGGTTTCTGGGCTCCAGCACATGGTGCCAGCCCATGTGGAGCTTCTCCTCACCCAACGCCCCCAGGTCCTTCTCCTCAGGGCCCCTCTCCATCCATTCTCCACCCAAGTCCTTCTCAGGACTGTTCTCTACTCATCCTCCACCCAACTCCTTCTCTTTAGGGCTGTTCTCCATCCATTCTCCACCCAAGTCCTTCTCAGGACTGTTCTCTACTCATTCTCCACCCAACTCCTTCTCCTTAGGGCTGTTCTCCATCCATTCTCCACCCAAGTCCTTCCCCTCAGGGCTCCTCTCCATCCATTCTCCACCCAGGTCCTTCTCAGGACTGTTCTCCACCCATTCTCCACCCAACTCCTTCTCAGGACTGTTCTCCATCCATTCTCCAACCAAGTCCTTCTCAGGACTGTTCTCCATCCATCCTCCACCCAAGTCCTTCTCCTTAGGGCTGTTCTCCATCCATTCTCCACCCAACTCCTTCTCAGGGTTCCTCTCCACCCCCCATTCTCCACCCAGCTCCTTCTCAGGACTGTTTTCCACCCAACCCACCCTCGGGATCGCCCCAACCCACCTACAAGACCTTCCCCCCGACCTCACTGAACTTCCCGAGGTCCCACCCGTCCTCACCTTGACCTTCTCAGCCCAAGGGTTGAGCCGTTTCCAGAGGAGCCACCACCCAGACAGGCTGTCCCCGTAGTTGCACAGGTCGGTCTCGTCCTGGCTGCCCACGTCGATGGCGATCACGGTCTTGGCGCCCATGCTGCGCGCGATGTCGGCTGGGGGGGGGGAGAGGGAGCTGGGCTGGTGGCCCCGTGGTGCCCACCTTGGTCCAAGCCCACGTGAGGAGAGAGGTGGTGGCACTGGCAGGGTTGTCCCCGCGTTGGCAAAGCTGGTGGTGGGACCGGCCCGCGGGTGGCGGAGCCGGGGGCAGGAGGTGATGGAGGCGCTGCGGGAGTTGGGGTGACCAGAGGGCACAGGCAAGTGACAGCATCTGGGGTGGGGTGTGAAGGAGCATGGAGGGGTGTCAGGAGGACACTCCCGTGGGGAGGAGATCAGGAGGTGGTGTGAGGTGGATGGAGATGAGGATGGAGATGCTCCCGGGCCACCTGGGACGTCCAAGGATGGGCACAAGGAGCATGGAGAGCACCTGGTGTCAAGGATACCAAGGGCTGGTGGAAGACAAGGAGGATGGAGAGGTCCATGGAGGACGTCTGGAGCTGAGGACATCAGGAGATGATGATGTGAGCCCAAGGAAGGGGGTTTGCAGGGGCAGGGGGATGGAGAAGCTCCAGGAGGTCACCTGGTGCTGAGGCCTCCAGAAGATGGTGCAAGATGGAGGGAGGTGGATTGGAGCTGGAGGTGCTGCAGGAGGACACAGTGCTGAGGACATCAGGAGACCACCAGGCAGGGTGGAGGAAGGTGACCTCAAAAGGAAGGAGCACAAAGATGTGCCAGGAGACCACTCAGGACCAAAGCCACCAAACCGTGGTGCAGGATGAAGGTCACTCGTGTGTGAAGAAGGATGGAGAAGTCCATCCTGGTGCCAAGGACACCAGGAGATGACGTGGGATGGAGGGAAGTGGCTGCAGGTGAAGGAGCAAGGAGGTGTTCTGTGAGGACACCTGCCATCCAGGACACCAAGAGTTCATCTGAGATGGAGGGAGGTGCTGGGCACACGGAGGACACCTGGTGTCAAGGACACCAAGGGACAGTTTGAGATGCCAGGAGGTGGCTGGCACAGGAAGGGAGATGGAGATGGCCCAGAAGGTGACCAGGTGCTGAGGGCACCAGGAGAAGCTGACAGGATGGACAAAGGGGGTTTGCACGTGAAGGAGCCCTTGGAAGGCATCAGGGCCACCAAGAGATGGTGTGAGGCCAAGGGAGGTGGCATCAGCATGGAGAGCACCTGGTGTCAAAGGCACCAAGGCCTGGTACAAGACATGGAGAGGTCTTGGAGGTGATGGACAGGCCCAAGGGGGACACCTGGACCTGAGGACATCAAGAAAGGACATGTAATAAGGCACGAAGGTGCCCCAGGAGAGCACCCAGTGCTGAGGACACCAGGAGAGGGTGATGCAGGTGGGAAGAAGGTGGTTGGCACCTGAGGAGCACGAAGATGCTCTAGGAGGGTGCTGAAGACACCAAGAGATGACGTGAGAAGGATGGTTGGCTTTGCACATGAAGAGGATGAAGATGCTTGGAGAGGACACCAGGTGGATGCAAACCCAAGCAAGATGTTCCAAACCCAACCTCAGCATCTCCTGTCATTGAGAACCCATCTTGGGGAGCCACCTGGTGCTGAGGACACCAAGAGATGATGTGAGATGGACGGTTGGCTTTGCATGTGAAGAGGATGAAGCTTCTCGGAGAGGACACCAAGACTCAAACCCATGCAAGATGTTCCAAACCCAACCTCAACATCTCCTGTCATTGAGAATCCCATCTTGGGGAGCCACCTGGTGCTGAGGACACCAAGAGGTGGTGCAAGATGAATGGTTGGTTTTGCACATGAAAAGGATGAAGGTGCCTTGAGAGGGCGCCCAACACTGAAGATGCCAAGAGATGATGCAAACCCAAGCAAGATGTTCCAAACCCAACCTCAAAATCTTCTACCATCAATAACCCATCTCCTGGTGGAAACATGAAGACACCTTGGGGAGCCACCTGGTGCTGAGGACACCAAGATGATGTGAGATGGATGGTTGGCTTTGCACGTGAAGAGGATGAAGCTTCTCTGAGAGGATGCCCAAGGCTGAGGACACCAGGTGGATGCTCAACATCTCCTGGCATTGAGAACCCATCTTGGGGAGCCACCTGGTGCTGAGGACACCAAGAGATGATGTGAGATGGACGGTTGGCTTTGCATATGAAGAGGATGAAGCTTCTCTGAGAGGACACCAAGACTCAAACCCAAGCAAGATGTTCCAAACCTCAACATCTCCTGGCATTGAGAACCCATCTTGGGGAGCCACCTGGTGCTGAGGACACCAAGAGATGATGTGAGATGGACGGTTGGCTTTGCACGTGAAGAGAATGAAGCTTCTCTGAGAGGACACCAAGACTCAAACCCAAGCAAGATGTTCCAAACCCAACCTCAACATCTCCTGCCATCGAGAACCCATCTCCTGGTGGAAACATGAAGACATCTTGGGGAGCCACCTGGTGCTGAGGACACCAAGAGATGATGTGAGATGGACGGTTGGCTTTGCATGTGAAGAGGATGAAGCTTCTCGGAGAGGACACCAAGACTCAAACCCATGCAAGATGTTCCAAACCCAACCTCAACATCTCCTGTCATTGAGAATCCCATCTTGGGGAGCCACCTGGTGCTGAGGACACCAAGAGGTGGTGCAAGATGAATGGTTGGTTTTGCACATGAAAAGGATGAAGGTGCCTTGAGAGGGCGCCCAACACTGAAGATGCCAAGAGATGATGCAAACCCAAGCAAGATGTTCCAAACCCAACCTCAAAATCTTCTACCATCAATAACCCATCTCCTGGTGGAAACATGAAGACATCTTGGGGAGCCACCTGGTGCTGAGGACACCAAGATGATGTGAGATGGATGGTTGGCTTTGCACGTGAAGAGGATGAAGCTTCTCTGAGAGGATGCCCAACCCTAAGGACACCAGGTGGATGCAAACCCAAGCAAGATGTTCCAAATCCAACACCTCAACACCTCCAACCACTGAGAACTCACCTCACGGTGGCCACGCAAGGCCCCAACAACCCAACCACCTCCCCCGGGGCCGGGGCCTGGTTGGCTGGTGGCCTCGAGGGCCTGGAGCTCCCACTTGCCTGGCAGGTTGTTGATGTAACCCCCGTCCATCAGCAAGTTCCCGTCCTTGGGGTCGCAGAGGGGCGGCAGGTACCCCGAGAGGGTCATGCTGGCGCGCACGTAGCGCCAGAGGGAGCCTGCCCGGGCGGGAACAGACCCAGTCAGCACCACCCACCGAGACCACCCTCGGGTGGGGCCTGCCCCTCGCCCCTGCCTCGCTGGGGGGGACACGTCTGCGCCCCACGGGTGCCCCACGGGGCCCTCACGGGTGGCAGAGGAACCCACGGCGCCTCCTAGATGCTCCTTTGCCAAGACGGGACGGGACGGGGGGGGGGAC